CCCCAAAACCCCAAAACCCCAAAACCCCAAAACCCCAAAACCCCAGTCTAAGTCAAAGGGATTGAACATGTCCTGATTTAATTATATTATCTTGAAACCGTTCTCTTAGCAACCTGCCAATGGTCAAGATCAAATACGATTGAACCCCAGAGCCCATACAGATATTATAATGAAGTAATTTTATATAAAATGGTAGGTTAGGATAGTTTATGAGGGACTGGGGACCACTTCTCTCCATACTTTTTCTTTATGGTCTCAAGTGATTTCCCTGGGAAGTAATACAAAACCTCTTGGTAGTCAATATATCCATTTCTTTTCTGCTGATTCACTAGTTTTCTAAGCAACTTGTTATCCCTTGCTGAGAATTTGTCTGGATTCTTGCCGATCTTCTTGATTCTTGTGAGGAGCTGGTCTAGCTTGGATGGGCTCCAAGAGATCTCAGCTGCTATTCTTTCAAGGATACCCCATAATTCAGATGAAAGGATAGTGGCTGAACTCCAAAAATCTGAAACTTGAACCTGTCATTCTTTGCAAAGCTCGATCAATCTCTTGAACATTTCTATTAAGAAAGGTAAGCATTAAGTAAATCAAGGATGAGATGAAACTCAGTCTACGATAACTGTGTCCCGCTTAAGCAGGATTTCTGAAAATTTTTGAAATTTTTTGTTTTAAACAAAGAAATCAGACTCTGGTCAGGCTGCCCACTAAAACAGTCTACCGTGCTCATAAGTAGATTTTAATCATCAGTATCGTTCATTTATGAAATTGTATAAAATTTTAAATAGGAAAATTATTAACTGTAAATCACCTGAGACAGGTTCAAAAATATAAAAACTGTGCTTACCTCTATCATGAGATTTGTTAAACCTCCTCCTTGCTGAGAATTTGACCTTATCGCTTAGAATTTCACTTTCGTATTTCGGAGTCAGACCAGAATTGAAGAGTGTCTTCGAATCTAAGTTGGCTTGGGTATCAAATTTAGAATCTAATTTTTCTTTGTTAACAGAAATGCATGATTTCTCGAAACCTTGCTCTTGATTATAAGCCCCATGAGTCGAATAAAGGGCAGATGAGACCTGGGACACCTGCTTCTTGTAGAATTTATTGAAATCATTAAGCACATCTTCCCTCTCTATCATCAAAGGGCTCGTGATTGATACTTCTTTCTGACAGATTTGAACTGTTGGAGTCTCAAAGTAATCGATCTGGTCTAAGGATAAGGCTTCGTTCTCAAGAGTATTTTCAAAAAGGATATCTCCGAAATACTCCTCCTTCTCTAGATTTTGATTGAAATCGAAGAATGATGTTTCTCTGGTAAACATTATTGGTAATGCAAATTATTTTTATTAAAAAGTTTATCAAAATCCTGTATTTATACTTTCATAAATATCCGACAGTGACAAAAATTGGGGTGCATTCTTTGGTTGTTTCATGATTTTTCATAGCCATCAACTCTTAGATAGAGCACTGCAGTCTCTAGGTCGGCTATACTAGGTGCCATACCTTTGTTTAACAAATAGTAATGGTTGGAGCCTCTGGAGATATCCGAGGGGCCATATCTGACAATGATCTGGAGCAAATTGAATTAGCCATATATCAACTCCTTGGTTATTTGTTTGAGGTCATAAATATCTTTAGCACAAGAGATTAGCATTCTCCTTAATTTCCGTACTCAGTTCCGAATATACAGCTGAAAAATAACTGAAACAGATCTAAGGGAAATTTAGCATTTCGGAAGTATTGAAACTGCTAAGTAAAAGATTTCGGTAAGATAATTTGTTCAAGTTAATACTCATAATTCTTATTTTACTTCATCTGGAATGCTCCGGGAGTCTACAGAAGCATATTAAACATGCCTTGAAGTCTACAATTCTGTCTTGATTTGGGCCAGTATGAATGAACACTGTTCGCATAGCATAAATATGAGGGATTTAGTGAAAAGTGCCCTTCCTTCATTTCTTTTGAGACTCTCTGAAGTGATGACATAAATATCCTCAGAATGATTCTTTCCAATAATATAATTGGACTAACCAATATTTATGAGGTTTCATTCTATGTTTACTATGTCATTGTGTCTATAATATGAGCTATACCTATTGTAGGTTCAGAAGAGGCTCCAATACAGAGCTAGATAGCATCCTATTCTGTTTAATATTGCACAAACAAAATAAATATGGTCATAACAATTTATATCGGATGACAGTTACATTTTGATTTTGAAGATTAAGTATTTAACAAGTTACAAAATTATACATAAATTTAAAATACTTCATTACTGGTCTCATAGGAAGGTGAACTAACTTGTAAGAGCACTTATAGTCTAATAATGAGGCTAAACGCCCTTGTTCTCCTGAGTATTAAGCAAGGGTCTGTCCTTTTAAAGAAGAGAAGTACTTTTATATGAGGAAATTCCATACAATTTACCTTAAAGACAAAATCTTTCATGATTAAAAAGCTTATTTAAGTGCAAAGATCCATAAATTAAGATGTGCAACTCTTGCTTCCTTTCAAATATGGCATTGGAACCTTACAGATTAGGTTATGATTAGCAAGAAAATAAAAATTGTGCTTTAGTAGGACAATTCTCTACTTATTATATCACCTCTAATTTTCGTAACTTTCAAATTACTAAAAAGAGTTTGATTTTCTTTGAAATGTGAGAACTCTCTGCAAGGCAAGACAGACTGCCTTATTCCCACTTAACGGAGTGGATCGGTATATATAATTAAACTATCAATCATAGTGAATACATCTAAAAATGATTAAATGTCTCAAAATTTCCTTTAAAGCTATAGTTACTCGGGGTAGGTCTTGCTGGATCTCTTAGCAGCTTTATTATAGCAACCACCCACCATGTCTACTCCATAAGTACACTTAATTCTAACAAGTATTTAATTGAGCTTCTCAGATCTATCAATTCTTAATACGCTAATTGGGGTTTTGGGGTTTTGGGGTTTTGGGGTTTTGGGGTTTTGGGGTTTTGGGG